CGTTTACTCTACTTAACACTCACCTTGAAAATATATTTTCATCATTTTTCTTTTTTCATGTTAATTTACGATAGACAAAATTAAGGTTATTATCGTAGCAGCAGCAACAACAACAATCTTTAAAGAGAAAAAATAGGATAACTATACAAGAAAGCCTTTTTAAACAGTAAAACATGCAAGTTCACCATTAAACTAAACCTCCTTATAAAATATCTCAATTTCTATACAAATCAATAAAGTGATAAAAACAGTAAAAGTAGACATCTTAAGTTGTGTGTAACTGGTAATAAAAAATGAAAAAGGAAAGAGAACTTAAAGTGTGAATAAGTGAAAGAAAAAATCATCGCTATATGTGCGATTCGAACAATCAATCGATAAATCTGAAGCATTTTCAGCACAGACGGTTTGCACAACCAGACTAGATCATTATTCTCGGTGTGTAAAGCTATATGTTCAATTCTCAGAGTGTATTTTATACACCTACACCATACATTCTAGACGGTTACTAGGAATCGCTAGGCGTTCACTTTGTGTTATAATTTTTGCGTCACCAGTTCAATGAAGGCCATTCACTCTGTTCCTCAAGTGATTGGATTATGGAACTTTCGTCACACCACACTTTCGTCATTATGACGAACGCACTTTGGTCATACATGGTGAAAGTTCCTTGGGGGGAGGTACTCCTCGGGAACTGTGGTCACCAAAGTGTGAATTTTCGTCACACACACGAAAAATTTCGTTGCGTGAGGCGAATTTTCGTCACAGCATTGAACAATAAATCTTTGTTCACTGTAAGTAAGTACTTCCTAAGTAACTACTTACAATTTACAATCTAATGACATTTGTAAACCGATTTGATTTAATGATGATGACTATTAAACACAAATAAAAAAAACTCTCCTTATGCACAATTCATATCAATAGTAAAACTGCTATGTACATTTTTTCTTTTTCGAAAGGAGTTGACAGGTATTAAGGACTTGCCAAGGGAGGACTTCCTGAGAGAGCATTTTCTTTACAATACACCGCGCTGTTTAATTTACACTTACATTATCCATTGTAACATCATAATTTTGTTTCGGTCTTTCATTAGCATTTTCAGAAAGAAAGAGAGATAATCCTTTAAGTTTAGGATAAGCAGTACTCAGTCAGGAAGTACTACCTCAGCAAGCACTTCATTAGTTTTACTTGTTATCTCATGAGAAAGGCACATAATCCGCTGTAAGTACTTGTTAAGGAAGTACTGCAGTGGAGTAAATACTAGGTGCAGCTCTTACTAAGGAAGTGCACCCGATCACATAATAATATCACAGCACTTGATTCTATTCTGTATTTATAGCGGTATTTACGTGTGATGAAAGTTAAGCAGGAACCATTAAAAACAAGGGTATTTTCGTCATAGTCGACAGAACTTTCGTCATCAAAATGTGAATTTTCGTCACAGCCACAAAAAGCACTCCGAAATTCACGCGAACTTACGTCACCATGCTTTTTTCTGAAAAACGCACTTCCGTCACAATTGACGAAAGACATTGCAAGATAGAGAATTTTCTGCCCTTCAAATCGAGCTATTGACAAGTTTCTCAAAACTATGTCCATACAGGACAACTGTAGAAATACGCGACAAATATCATCATTTTCACGTATCCTGACACTTTAAAGGGATTCTACCACACATCTGGTCAGAATCGGAATATTTTATATACCGGAAGATAGAGAATTTTCTGGGCTTCTAAAGGAACTACAACAGGTTGTTTTAAATTTTCCTCGCATTGCTATTTATTGACTAAATACCGATGGATACTTCAAGTTTTACCCACAGTTCGTTTCACAAATAGAAATTTGGAATAGTTGTATTTAGTCGCCATGTTTGACTCACTGCCCCTTAGCAACTTCATGCACCCAATTCGAAAGGAAAATTTCGATATATCATTATCATCCCTTCAAGCCTTACACTTTGCTAGTCATTCGATGTTTATGTTATATGGACGCGACGTTTATGCCATTTCATCCTTTCTGCAAAAGCAATAAAACACGTATAGCGATAAGTAACACATGAAAACATGAAATATAAATATTTTTGTTACATTAATTTTATTCAATATTTATTCATACTATCAAGAGAAAGATACCGACAGAATGCCCACTACCACCGATGGCATGTCACAGTCATATTTTTTCGATCATGATCATTCAAGCTCATGTATCATGGTTGTTCTAAATGATGACATAGAAGTAGAATAAATAAAATAAATAAGTAAGTGCGGTTCGTTTGCTCTACTTAACAATCACCTTGAAAATACATTTTCATCATTTTTCTTTTTTTTGCCATTTAACATGCAGGTTCACCATTAAACTAAACCTCCTTATAAAATATCTCAACTTCTGTACAAATCAATAAAGTGATAAACACAGTAAAAGTAAACATCTTATATTATTTTTTGTTATGACTAAACTGTTAACGACAAATGTCAGTTACCGGATACCCAGGCAAACGTTTTCTGGGAAAAAAACGCGTTGATGTGCGTTAATTTCTAATGCGTTTATCAGGATGCATTTTGACCGTTTCAACGCGTTAGTTTTTATCGCGTTTGTATTCTGTGAAAATCAATTAAAATGAAAAAAAAGTAAACTTCAGCATCAGATTAAATTCTGGTACATGTCTGGATGCATAGATATGCATATAAACGACTATATAACCCAGTAGAGTGATGAAATAGAGGAAGAAAACAATTTGTACTTACATGACTTTAGTGTGATTTGAACGTGAGTACCTAGAATTAAGAAGCAAACACATAACCATCTGAGCTATCAGACGATCGAAGCATATGCAGTAACAATGCTATGTGTTTTGATCATCTCAGTCAGACAAGACAGTGTTTGCTTCTTTATTCTATGACTTCTATGTTGCATTTATAAAGTAAACAAATCTTTTCGTTCAGAATAAAGTAATTCCGTAGACAATCATCTCTTTTCGCATACCTAACTATGTGTGTGCGAGAAATGAGATAGTCTGTCTGTTAGGTCGATAACTCCGTACCTCATCCTTCTGTTTAAAGGTGAACTCTGATACCGAGTTGCACTTTATTGAGAAACTCACCAAATGTAAGTGACTTTTTTGAGATAGGATGTTTCTACTCTGTCATTCGTGGAGCTGTTGAACATGAATAAATCTGCTAATACAGGTCGCATTGTTATTTTCTTTCTTTTGTATTCGCATTGTTTCGGTTATTCTATGTCACAAGAAGATTTTAAAGTCAAATGGTCTTCTTGTTTCATCTTTTATGATACACTTTGAAAAAAAATTAAAACACATCAGAAAATAACGCATAAAAACGCGTTAGATTACCAAATAATGGTCCTGCTGAACGCGTCGGTAATTAATGCACCTTAACGCGTTGATAATTAACGCATCCGTTTTCTCTAACGCGTCAGAACGCATTGGATTTAAACGCGTTTCGATGCGTTTACAGTACACTAATGCGTCGGAACGCGTTCATTTTCACCAAAAATGCGTCAAAATGCGTTACCTGTCCAAACTAACGCGTTTCAACGCGCGTTGACTCAAAAAAAGGCTTGCGTGGGATATTTATAAATAGAAAGGATATAGTTCAGCTTTAAATTGTATTAGATTATGTAACTGGTAATAAAAAATGAAAAAGGAAAGAGAACGATAAGCATATCTACGCGTAAACTGAACGGGTTCCCTTATGATATAGTTCAAAATTAGTGCCTTTGTATGGAACAGATGTGTATACATACAGATGTGCGCTCACCCTATCCACCTTGATTACTCTTTCCCGTTGTATAGTTGTTCGAATTCTCTGCTAATGAAAATTCAACATGCAATCATTCATTGTGATATGTAATTCTTCCATAAATTTCTTTTTCTTAACGATCTGTAAAATGATTTAGTCAACTCAACAAGAAACAGAATATGCAAAGAAGAAGAACTAAGCAACAGATGTGAACGATGTACGAAGATCCCCACGAAGTAGTGTGATTCTTCATGGAGCGGACCTCGTGAGGATTAACGAGGCAAGAACGTCACGACGCGAACTCCTCGAAGCACATTTTTTCTCGTAAGCGAAAGAAGAGATGGAGACACTAGACGAAATTCTTTTCAGTTTACAGTTGAAAAATATGTTTGTTCTTGTGAACTAAGATGAAACAATGAATAGCTCATGTTAGCAGAGATTTTGCGGACTCGAAAGGCTCGATGAGAAAGTGCCAGAGGAAAATTTATCATGAGTTGACGGTAGACGAGGGGGCAGAAAGTTTACGGCGCGATCCCTGCGAAGTACATTTATCGAAACTTCGCCAGGTACGGGGCGATGACGAGGCAGGAAGTTTGCGAGACGATCGTCATAAAGGAGCTAAAGATAGTTTAATTTCCACCTCTGATAAGCAAGAACTTAAAAAATCTGAAACGAAGAAGCATTCTAGTTGATTGACTTGATTAAAAATACTGTTTCTACATGGATATACGTGAGGGTGACGGGGAATTTTAAAATTTTCATAATATTTTTTCTAAAAATTATACCCATGCCATCAAAATCGCCTAACTTTTGTCGATTAATCACAACTTTTCTGCTGTGTTTTCATAGTGACAAGCCAAACCATCTTGTCCATCTTGTCACTATAGAACCCCAGCAGATAAATCGCGATTAATCGGCAAAAGTTAGGCGATTTTGATGACATGGGTAACTTTCAAGCAAAAAAACCAAATAACAAAATCTCGAATTTGTATCTGTTCTTTCTGATTGATCATAATTTTTAACAAACGAAATATTAATCAGGGTGTTGTGATGTGATTGATATGTTTACGATTTCAGGAAAACGTTGAGATGAAAAGTAAAAAACTGTAAAATAAAAAAGAATTTATTTCTCTAGTAATGAAACTTAACGAGACTAAAAAAGGTAAGCGAAAAAAGTTAAATTTGAAAACAATAGAGGAGAGTAGACTAAAAGAAGAACGTATGTGAATATTCTGTAATTTTTTAACAAGGACGTGGAACGTTTTGTTGAAATTGTCCCAAATAATTTCCGGGTGGTGCATAATTGGCAACAACATACAATTTCTTCCAAGCGCCATTATTAGCAATAGCAGCACCGACACCTAAACGATTCGATGCACGCCATACAACTTGTGTAAAATGCCCAGTACTCATTGAAAAACCCGGGTTATCATAATTATATAACTGATTTTCGTTATACCATGATGTAACAGCATCAGCACCATTTTGACTTAACTGACCTGTTGTACTTGTCATATACAAATTTTCTCCCATACCTTGATGATTACTATGTTGAAAAAGATTATTTTGTGCCAAATATTGTGCATATTCTTGTGCTACGCTATTCAAATATGAATCCAGTGTCATTTGCTGAACACAATATTTACGACGGTATAGATTATGTGCATCCAATGCTTGTTGACGAAATGAATTTAAATCACGTTTCTCTTGAATAAAGAAACAACAAAACAAAAAATTATCTCTCTTCTGACAGCATCATTTAATTTACCTATTGAACGTTCATCCATCTCGTTCTCAGTACTCTCATCCCAACCCAACCCCCGTATTTGCGGTAAACCAGATAAATTGACGTCTTGTTGCTGATCATTCGATGGATTGCTATCATCCTCAATTTCAGATGATGATGCTAACTCTGATTGATACCGATTTCGTTTCCACAATTTTAATTGTTGTTCTAATCGCCCGGCATTGATAAGACTTGAACAAACGAACATTAACAATACGACAAAATTGGCACTGTTCATTCTAAAAGGCTAGAACACGAAAGGCTCGTGTTTAGTCATAACAAACAATGATATAAGATCTACTTTTACTGTTTTTTTACTTTGGTGATTTGTATAGAAATTGAGATATATTGTCAGTAGGTTTCGTTTGATTATGAACTTGTATGTTTTACTGTTTAAAATGAATTTCTTTTATATTTATACTCTTTCTTTCGCTTTAAACATTGTTGTTCTTGTTGCGATTAAATGTATCGTAAATTAACATTGCAAAAAGAAAAATGATAAAAATATATTTATAAAATATGACTATAACCTGATATCGGTGACAGTGACCATTTTCTCTCTCTGTCTCTTGAGAATATGAATAAACGTTGATTTAAATTAACGTAACAAAACAATAAATGTATATTTCATGTTTTTGTTATCGCTATACATGATTTCTGCCTCTGACTCATCTCTTTTTATCTTTTACAGCTTTTGTATTAGACTTTATAAAAATCGTTCTACTGAATCGATTACTTCACAATTTTTACCACAAACCAAGCATCCTACCACGCTCTCTGATAAAAATTTCCTCAACTTTTGTTTAATATTTAAGGAGAAACGTAGCTCAAAAGTTGAAAAAATGTAATCCCGTCACACGCGTTTAGGCCTGACGAATAATATCGTTGGAGCAATTGGTAAAAGAAACAACATTAATTACTTTAAACCTTATGGAAACTCACTCAAGACAAAATAATCATCATCAGCGGACCGAACAAAAGTAGAGGCTTGCTGATACCAACCTCTAAATAATAGTTATGGATCCGTTCCTCACGCTTTACCAAAGATAAAGATTGAAGGACGGATTAAGGATACGTTTCCTCATACGGCAAATAACTTGTAACAAGTCCAAACACACAGCCGCGGCGTTCACTACTTCAGACTTACACAAAGATTGAGATTATTACTATTAAACTTAAAGTTGAAGCAACGTACTCAAGCTTATTTTGGAGGCGTTTTAATTCTGAATTTTTCTAAATACAACTATTCCTAATTTTTATTGTGAAACGAATTGTGGGTAAACCTTGACGTATCCATTGGTATTTAGTCAATAAATAGCAATGCGAGGAAAATTTAAAACAAACTCTTGTAGTTCATTTGGAAGCCCAGAAAATTCTCTATCTTTCGATATATAAAATATTCCGATTCTGACCAGATGTGTGGTAGAATCCCTTTAAAGTGTCAGGATACGTGAAAATGATGATATTTGTCGCGTATTTCTACAGTTGTCCTGTATGGGCATAGTTTTGGGAAGCTTGTCAATAGCTCGATCTGAAGGGCAGAAAATTCTCTATCTTGCAATGTATGGACTTTGAGCAATATCTGTGAAATCGTGCAGATCACTTGAAGAACAAAGTGAATGGCCTTCATTGAACTGGTGACGCAAAAATTATAACACAAAGTGAACGCCTAGCGATTCCTAGTAACCGTCTAGAATGTATGGTGTAGGTGTATAAAATACACTCTGAGAATTGAACATAT